CAGTAATCACTGTGAAGGGGCCCGTGAGCCCCCGGGCAGTTGGCCCTTGTGTGTGAGCGGGATAAAGTAGCGGTGGTGGGCTGCGTGTTGTCCAAGCGGAGTGTGTGGATTGTTAGAGTCCGTGGTGTGGTGTGCGTGTGTGTGTGGTGTGCGTTCAAGGACGCTACAGCCCTAGAGGTGGGCTGCATATCACGACCGGTATGAATGCAGTTTTTATAACACCTCCAAGGGTTGTAGTGGTTACGACACTTCACTTCTGTGCAGGAGGGTGCCGGTTCGAGGCCATCCATGTACGGCGGGGCATGACGTCCCAAACACACGTTGTTCAGTAATCACTGTGAAGGCGCCCGTGAACCCCCGGGCAGTTGGCCCTTGTGTGTGAGCGGGATAAAGTAGCGGTGGTGGGCTGCGTGTTGTCCAAGCGGAGTGTGTGTGGATTGTCCGAGTCCGAGGTGTGGTGTGCGTGTGTGTGTGGTGTGAGTTCAAGGACGCTACATCCCTGGAGGTGGGCTGCATATCACGACCGGTATGGACGCAATTTTTATAACACCTCCAAGGGTTGTAGTGGTTACGACACTTCGCTTCTGTGCAGGAGGGTGCCGGTTCGAGGCCGTCCGTGTACAGCGGGGCATGACGTCCCAAACACACGTTGTTCAATAATCCCTATCGGACCGAAGAAACCGCCCTTATCAACGGGCAACATGAATCCGGAAGCGGGGCGACATGCACAAAGGACAAAAATTATGGCGGTGTATCTTTCCATGTTCTGGCGGAATATTCATTCATACGTTGGGTGGTGGAGAACGAAGGGCCGATGAATCCGGTAAGCACGTAACGTATCTTGAGAGATCGCGACCCTCATCATGACTAAATCTGGCCTGCAAGAACCCTACCATACAGACTCCAAGTACCGTTGAGGATCTGACAGGTTGGACGTGCCGGTCTTCACTCGTGCAAAGAAATTCTGATGTTCTTCCTTAAAAAAAAAAATTCAGCTCCCCCCGCTTTTTTTTTTTTCCGGAGTCCTGCGCGGCCTCAAATTGTTTTTTTTTTTTTTTTTTTTTTTTCTTGACGCGACATCCCACTTGAGCCTACAACACCCCTCCCCAAATTTTTTTTTTTTTGGCCGACCCCTTATTTTCGGGGTGTGCCGCACCCCGTGCGCGGTGCGGCGCACGTGCGGGATGTCGCGCACCTCGATGCGCTGCGAATATGATTTTTTTTATTTTAATCCTTTTTGGCCCGGCTGGGCAAGTGGTCCCGGGCCACTCTGGTAGCCTAGATTTAAATTGATTTTTCAATTTGTCACTTTTTTTTTCCGTCAATTAAACTCAGACTTCGTAGCCAGTTTTTGGCTATTCTTTATTACCCTGTGATTCAATTTTTTTTTTTTAAGTCTCTTTCAGTTTATGTGAGTGGTTTGTGTTAGGTTCCCTACAACATTCCTTATTTTTGCGGGCATAGCCCGCACCGCCCGCACCGCGGGCGCTTAGCTAGTATATATAAAGGTCCAAGGTGTTGTAGAGGCTAATTACCAGGCCCACAGGGATCACCGGGAGCGATGAGCCGTGGCAGTCCTAAGATTACGAGGTCACCTCCCATCCCTACCACTCGTCAATACTCCCAGCGTACCCCGTAACCCTACTATCCTACCTCAGTGTAACCCACTCAGGACTATCACCCAACCGATAGGTGGGTGACTTGGACCAGGCAGTAGTGATAGGCACCAAGGCTAGCTATTACCCCAGCCCCAGTGGAAGCGGAATCGGACAGGCCTCGCTGTACGGGAACTTCGGACGCCAGGCACCACTATATTCTACCAACCTCGTATCCTCATTCTAGAGACTATAGACCCCTGGGTTTATTTTCGGGAACGGGCTAACTAGCAGTCAGTACCCCAGCCAGACAGCCTACTGTCCTTCCCCTAGCTTACCCAAAGCCAGGCGGAACTCAGACTGACAGTCCTACCGTCCTTCCCCTAGCTTGCCCCTATCTTGGCTAGGCGGAACTCAGACCTGCTGGGGTAACTACCGTATTCTATACCCTAGAGTCTTTCTAACCCCCCCCTAGTCAACTATAGATGCATGTAAGCCCTTAGGCCGTATGTATGTGCTCAGAAGCTATGGATGTATGTTAGCCCGCAGGCTATTTATGATATGTGTGTATATATCCGGACTGATATGTGTGTATATATCCGGAAGCCAGTCGTATACCCGAAGGCAGTATGAATCATATATGGGGCCGAAGGCCATGTGTCAGCACTGTATGTGTGTTGAGAATACCATATATAACGGGCCAGACTGGACAACCCCCCCCAAAGTCTGACCAAGCTCGAACCCGTGACCTGTGAACTGTAACTGGAAGACTCAACCGTATGAGCAACAATCGGAAATGGCACATGTGTGTGGTACATCTGACTGGGGAGAACAATCGAACAACCTAGACCAACACCCCGAGCAAGCCCTGCAGAACCCAGAACCAGCATACAACAACCGGGACTTGATCCCCTGACCAATACAGGCAGGGTCTGTAATCATAACCATGTATGGCCAGCCGTGCATCATTCTAACGCCCTGCCGGTGTCCATGCGCGGCTGCAGAGTTTTGAACCCGCAACCTTAAACCACAATGCGCATTTCCACCGGTGCTCTAACCACTGAGCTACATCAATTGGACAGGCCCATATGATATTAAAAAAAGGAGCAAGTACGTTCATGTCACCTTTTGAGTTCGAAAGGGCAAAAAAACAACAATGGGCAACGAAAAAATGGTCGTAGTTCGAATCTGGGGTGTGGCCAGGACATTTCGGTCGTGGCCAATCTGGGGTGTGGCCGAGACATCTCGACCCTGGCCAATTTGGGGTGTGGCCGAGACATCTCCGCCATGGCCCAACCATGGGGCCTTTTTTTTTTTTCTTTTTTTTTCAGCCAGGGTGCGGCGCCGCGTGACACCCGACCGAACAAAAAAAAAAAAAAAAGGTGCGCCGCCGTGATCGCGCGCCGTGATCGTGTGATCACCATGATCGCAACACCGTGATCGCGATCACCGCGCACCGCGACCAACCGAAAAAAAAAAAAAAGAAAAAAAAAAACCTCTGGGCGATGGCCAATCTGGGTTGTGGCCGAGACATCTCGGCCATGGCCAATCTGGGGTGTGGCCGAGACATCTCGGCCGTGGCCAATCTGGGGTGTGGCCGAGACATCTCGGCCGTGGCCAATCTGGGGTGTGGCCGAGACATCTCGGCCATGGCCAATCTGGGGTGTGGCCGAGACATCTCGGCCGTGGCCAATCTGGGGTGTGGCCGAGACATCCCGGCCATGGCCAATCCGGGGTGTGGCCGAGACATCTCAGCCGTGCCCAATCTGGGGTGTGGCCCTTTTTTTTTTCCCCTTTGAGTCGTGTGTCTGTATCTGGCGCAGAATGAGAGCCGGATTCGAACTCAGGCCCTGGTACCAGTACCGGGCTCTGTATCTGGCGCAGAATGAGAGCCGGATTCGAACTCAGGCCCTGATACCGGTACCAGGCCCTGCTACCGGTGCCTTGTAGAACTCAGAAAATGACACCACTGCCGAACGCATGTTTTAGGGCCGTGACACCGGTGCCGAAGGCCTGTTTTTCGTGCCTTTTCGAACACAAACAGTTACACCAGAGCCGTTGTTTCAAAAAAGAAAAAGACCTGGGGGCGGGTAAAAAGGGGGGCATGGTGCGCTGGGTGAGTTCGAAAGGGGGAGGGGAAAGCCGGTTCCCGGGGATCACAAGCGCATGGAAAAGGGTATGCTTGATTGTTCTAGTGTTATCAGCCAGCCGCAGTGCGGCTGAAGAGGCCAATCCTCAGACCATCCAATGTTCTCAGACCATCCAAATTGCAATGTTCTCAGACCATCAAATGTTCTCAGGCAATGGAAGGGACACTGGACCCGATTTCCAGCAGGTTCAGGGTGTATCTCCAATGCTGATGTGTAGCGAAGGCCTGACCTGCCGGGCATCATCCCGGGCCCATTAAATTTACCTTTCTGCTCATTGGAAGTAGGCTAGGGTGTTGCTCAAACGCTGATGTGTAGCGAAGGTCTGTCTCAGCAGTTGGCAGAGATCAGAGTCTGAAGCGGAGGGGCACAATTGCGCTTGCCTTAAAGTTTGCTCGACTTCTTCTTCTGTGCACTGTACATACACAAATTCTTGTTGCTGGGAGCAATCTCCCTGTAGACAGTCTAATATAATAATATCTGCATAAAAGGTGAGTAGTCAAACAAGAGCTGTGCATCCCACTCGATGACCATTGACCAAGAGTTCTTCACAGCGAAAAAAAAAAGAACACGGCGTAGGGAGGAAACAAGGCTATGGCAATGACAAACACATCCCACATGTAACCAAAGCGAAAAGATACCGTGACAGTGGGGAAAAACAAATAAAAAAGGGGGCAAATACTTTCCTGTGGCGATAGTGTTTCGTATGGGCCAAAAAAACGCATCCCAACAGACTTGCCGACATGAGTTGTTTTCGCCTTTTGAAACTCAAAATCTAACGTGGCTGCGCTTCTTTCAAAAAGACAAGATACAGCGGGGAATATGTCTGGTTCAGTAAATTAATCTGCGGTACAGCTTTACGTACACCCCATTCACATGCACGCTTCCTGCAGTCACGATGCGGGAAGGGAGGCAACCTTCTGAAAGATGAGGGTTCTGTCCCGGGATGGGCTTGGCTTATGGGGAACCGCGAGTCAAACTGGCTTGAGTATGCAGACATTAGCCATCTCTGTCAGTGAGTCCAAGTCACCTAAGATGCCCAAACCACTCAGACTGACTCAGCAACTCTTCAAGGAAGTTCAAGCAAACAAGCACAACGGAAACCACAGGGTTTCCACCAGAAGTGATCGACGAAGCTACATGTGCTCACACACACACACACACACACACACACACACACACACACACACACACACACACCACAGTGAGCTTTTCCCTCATAGATCAAGGTAATGCAAAAAAGAAAAAGCAACTATTTCTCCTAGGGCATTACCGGCCATGGAATAGGGTGCAAAAACGATATGAAAGTTCGTTTTAGGGCCTACCACACTTTTTGGCCTGTTTGGGGGAAAACAAAAACGCAAAGTGGTTTTGTCGTGGGGGTGATCTCAGCCTATCTCTAACTGACGGCCACCAGGAGTTAGTACTTACCAGCTGGCGCCTACGTGGACGGTCCCTTGTTCCATGCAAAAAGTAGGTCCTGGAATGATGTATGCAACTTCCAACATTACTCAACTGCAAGTTGACATACCTACACAAAAAAAAAAGTTGAGGATAGTGCAGAACTCCACAAGCAAGGGATAGTCCAAGCAAAGGGGAAGCAAGAAATACAGTGCACAGGCAGCGCAGGTGTGCAAAAAATGCGCACCGACGTTCTTGGCATGTCGCCTTCTCCCTGTGAAAATTGGTTATGCAAACACCCATTGGATGGGAGTTTGAGAGAAGTCTGCAGCCTTTCTCATCTAGCAACCTCTTCTTCGTCTAATCTTTTCTCCAGTCTCTTCCACTCGTCTACCTGACATTCCGTGACTCTAGCCTTTCACCCCAAGGCCTGTCACTTTCTCCGGGCCTGTGAAAATTGGTTATGGGAGTTTGAGAGACTTCAAGCCTGCAGTCTTTCTCGTCTAGCAACCTCTTCATCAAATCGTTTCTCCAGCAGCTGCACCCGCTCAGCTTGGATTCTCTCCTTTTTCTGATGCTCTGCTATCAGACCCTCAAGTGTTTCAAGTGCTTTCTTGCAGTTCAGCTCAACAATTGCCACTTCCCGCTTAATCTTCTCCTCGAATTCCAGCCTGATTTGCACAATCCGATTTTCGAGCTCTTCACTGACAGGTGTTCTTAATGCGAAGACAGCTTCGTCACCCGTCGTGGTTGCTCCTGCAGAAGTCTGGGCGCTCTCTGTTGAAGGAGATTGCATTTGCTTCTGCGCTTCATTTTCCTGTTCTTCCCTTCCTGTGTCCACCGCTACCACTTTGAACATCCCACGACCTCCAAGAACAAGCTTGTTACAAGTTCCACATGGAATCATGCTTGAAATGTCTGCGTATCCAAAAAAATAGGAAGCCACTTGCCGATAGCTTGTCTCGCTCCAAATTCGTATTTTACCTTCTTTTGCAACAGTAAAGATGTACGGCAAGCGTGGATGGAAAAAGGCTGACCTCGTGGGCGTATCGTGTGCTTCCCATTTTGCCATGCAAACTCCTTCCTTATAGTCCCAAACCTGGATCGTTTCTTTGTGGAATGCGATAAGCAGTGATTTCCCTACCCTGGGACAAAACCCCATGATGCGTGTGCAAAAAACAGGAGATAGAATACGATCCCAATCCACTGGCATTTTGTATTTCTTATCCGATTCCAGGGGACTAACCAGACTTATGAGGCCTCCCCTTCGACATGCACCGATATTCAAATCGCTGCCCTCAGCAACTTTCAGAGTACGAACGCCCTCAGCAACTTTCAGAGTACGAACGACAGACCTTTCTTCCAGGTTCCATACCTTGATGATGTCATCATCTGAGGCAGTTGCAAAGATCTGTGACTCTGTTGGATGAAATGCCACTGCGCGTATGGCTGTAGAATGACCTTGAAGCTTTATCTTCTCCCATTTTCGACCCCAGTAAAACAGAAAAACATCCTTGTTCGCAAAACCTGCCAATAAACAAGGCAAGCTGTGATGGACAGCAACTGCATGGGTGGTTGAAGCACATTCTGTCATTAGCGTCCTCACACACGTCAACTTCGAACCTTGTCATTCGTACACGCCGAAGCTGCTGGTTCTCTCCACCAGAATCCAGTCTTTCTACGGGATGAATAGAGCTCCATAAGCATCATCCACATCAGGGATTTTCAAGAAGGCAACCCGCGTTCCATCTTCATAGTTCCACACTTGAAGTGATCTCGGGGACGGTGTAAATAACACCCACGGCTCACAAGGATGCACATGGACCACTATGTGGCGCGCTTCCTTTAAATTAGAACCCCGCATAATGTCCGGCCACTTTCTCTCGAGCTCTGGCACCAGCCAAATTTCACTTTCTCCATTACCATCCTCCATCCCGACCTTCAAATCCCAGATACAGCTCACTTAGAGGGACCTCACTTTCTCTATTTTTGCAGACTTCTCTTCACTCTTCTTCCGCCTCTATGTCAACTAGCAATTTGCTAGTTTTACCATCCTATTAATCAAGGATGACGACCATGATATATGTTACCCAGAACCCACCACCTCTCACGTGTCCTAACAAAGTGGGATCTATGGTCCTCAGAACGAGTAGTATACTACTACCAATTTCTGTGAACCATTTATTTATTTCACGTCAAGGTGAAGAGGCTCCCCCCTCCCAGCATTTCTGTTTGCTCTGATGTATTTCTGCATACGGGATGCTGGACCCGTTTTCCAGCAGGTGACGCTCCCCACCAATAGATGGAGCCTCTCCCCGGGTGCTAGTGGTGTCTGCTCCTATCAGCATCACTAACACTGGCAGGGGCGTGTTTTCTGAAAAAAAAATAAAAAAATCTCACGAGAAATAGGGAGGAACAATTCTGCAATTCTGCCCCGCCTCGGATGTGAAGCTCTCATATCTCTGACTCCAAGAAAAAGGAAGGGCCTGGCTGGTGGAAAATTGCGACAGTCAAGAAAAATAAATAAAGAAAGGAAAAGCAGAGCCACAATCAGAAAAATCAAAGTGTGAGTCTAATACTATAAACTAGGCCACCAGAGCGGAGCGGCCATTTTATTGGACCATTTCTCTATTTATGTGCGTCACCTTGGGCAGGGGCCAGGATAATCTTCTCTGTATTGTTCCAATTTTAACGGATGCCATTGGACCAGTACCACTTGCCCGGGTGGGCCAAAAAAAAATCTTTCTTTTTTTTTAATTATATTTTTACGTTTTCTTTTGCAAAAATTGGCTGTGAGAAAAAAAAGCAACAGTGTTGGCTATTAGATGCCACTAGGTGTAGAGGGCATATGGGGTGTGCAGGGACTGGCCACAGTGCTCTGGAGAGGATGCACTTGCTACATTTACCCGAATAGAGCCCCTGGTCATTATCCCTGTATCTAGACTGAAGTTGCACCAAATACAGTGATAATGACCGGGCTTTTATTCCGGTGAAAAAGGTAGCACAACCTGCTTTTCACTCTCACACCAAGTCGAACACTCCGGTGGTGGAAACCATGACTAAGGTGCGGAGAGGTGCAGATCAGTGGGCGACACCCGGTGTTCGCTGTCCTCTACAGAGCGTAGAGAGATCAACAGCAGCCTAGTCCACCAAGCATGTCCAATCATCACAGAGAATCAGCTGCTTCTTAACAAAAATCCTACATTGTCCTTGCCGTTTCTGTTCTATGTAAGGGACACTGGACACTCAAGTACGCTACAAAAAAAGAGCGGTGCAAATGGAAAAGAGGGAAGTGTTGAGGGAGTGAGTCTCAGATGAAAACAAAGAACAACCAAAAACGAGCGGCACACTTCCAAGTAGAATTATACGAACATTGTGGAGGAAACCCGTTGGTCATTGGCAAATAGAAACGGCCAAGCGGGCCACAAATGACAAGCTTAGTGTTTCAGGCCCCTTTTTCTTTTCCCCGTTTAACTTATGAGAATGGAACTGTGAAGCCAGAACTGCGTTTTCGTTAAAATTGAGTTTTTTTCCATTTCGCTATTTGTACTTGAGTGACCTGAWGAGGTCAYTTGGCTGAAGAGGTCATTTSGCSTGTCTGATAAGGGCCAATTTTTGGGATGAGTGATCATCCATGAGACTACCAACATGCACTTCGTGAAAAGTAGACATTTCGTGAAAACTGGACTCGAGTCAAAAACTTTACGTTGAATTTCTAAAAAACTTGTTTTAAGGCTGTCACATTGGACATGAATTGGCCGTTGTCACAAACATTTGGGCATAAACCTATATTCTTGGTCAAGCAACGAGACAACTGAAACGCAAAAAAGCAAACAACGTGTTCTTGCCAATACATCCAAGTTACGAATTTGCTTTGCATAAGGAGAACTATTTTTTGGCAAGTCATATGCACAAGTCTGTGGCAAGTGAGATAATTATGCAACATGCTTATCGAAGCAAAAACAAATGAGCAAGCATTTCAATAATCAACGCAAAATAAAAACGAATTGTAAAAATAAATTTCAACTAGGGGGGGACCAGGAAAGGGGGAGCCCCTCCGCCGCTCCTCCCCCCTCTGCTGCTCCTCCCCCCTTCTCCACCCTCCTTTGCTCCTCCCCCTTCTCCACCCTCCTTTGCTCCTCCCCTCTCCTCCGTGGCGGATGGTGGAGCAGCGGAGGGGGGAAGAGCAGAGGAGTCAATCTATTGCTGTCTGGTTGAACTCGAGTTCCCCTCCGCTGTTCCCCCCTCCGCCGTGGTCGATTGATTGATTGATGGATTGAT